CTCTTAAATTGCAGTTTGGCTGCGGAGACAATAAGGCTGAAGAACGAACAATCGCTTAGCAGCAATGCAATAATGGCACAGCCATCGAGCAGCTGTCGAGAACTGGACGAACGAAATACTCGGGAAGCAATCTTCTATAAACGTTTGATCGCTATATTATTGTCAAATCTTGCGATACAGGCAAGTATAGTTGTGTGTCACACGTATATAATCCAAGAGCCTATATAGTCTATAAAACCATTTAGCACGTACAAGTTTGTTACTCAAAGTCGATATGTACATTCTTATTCGTATATATATATATATATATATGTATGTATAATAAAACAAATTGACAAATTGTTGTTGCGCATAGAGAACGGATGACGACGGATCGATTGGAAGACTCAACATAGAAGCGTCTTCTTCGCAATTCGAGTACCTTCGGAACTTTGTAAACGGCCAAGGTTCTATAAGGGAAGTTGACAGAATTCTCAAAAATGCGATAAAGCGACCCGCATACTCGGCGTGTGATTATATGGCCGTCTTTTCCGTTTTTTTATCTGGGGCGTCTTATTATTTCAATTTGTTTACGAGCAAAGCATCCGAGTATTGGACGCTTATGAATGAACACGTAAGAATAATAGTATTTGTGTATAATATTTATAAGATTATACCTCCACACATTTTGAGTTTATGTATTTAGCGATGTGGATCTAAATCAATTTTCTAAACTGTTACAGTGGGACATAACTATAATCGCCTTCACACTCGTAGCTGGTTTAATAATTTTGAGAAGACAAAGATGGTCTCGAGGCTTACTTATCTTTCTCATGATCGATGTTGTATTTGTAATCAGTTTCTTCATAACTTGGTGGCGACTTATACAGGTAATTTATATATTATTTTATCACGGAAAAAATGTACACTTTTAAGTATATACATTTGTATATCGATCATATTGTGAAAACTTATGTAGCGTATATTAAAAATGAAGTATATAACGTACATATCTATATTTTTAATAAAATAATGACTATAGATTATAATTTTTTATTTAAAAATTTCTTCTATTTCGCAGGAAGCAGAAATTAAATTAATGGCGGCACAAGCGCAATTTGCTGAAATGCCAATTGCCTGCCAGCCGGATAAAATGAGTCTGTGGGACAAGATGTGGGAGAAGATTGCATCCTGTGAGTATCTGTGATGTGTAATGCATAAAATAAAAAAAAATAAAAAAAAAAAAACATTGATATACATTATTCGTAAACGAAAATCTGTTGACACAGCTACGAACGATTGTGAAAGATACTACGAAACGATCAAGACGAATCCTACATTGCAAGTGACACCGGCATTCGCATTGACCCATTTTGTCACCACGACTTTTGTCCAACCTTTGTCGTACTTTGGATCGGTTATGTCTGAATTCGTAGATAACGCTACCAGTAAGTTGAATTTGGTTCAATGTCAATGATATGCCAACGTTATTAGATTATTAACTATGTTGCGCATTGTTTCGCAGGTAGATTAAACTTTGTGTACAAGTTTCCCGTCGTAATCGCTCTTTTCTCAAGTTTCTGCGTATGTGTAATATTGATACCGTTTTTCTGGATTGGCGGATCTATTAATTTCGGTTTTGGACCGTTCTTCAAATTTGGAATCAAAGGCAGACGACGAAACTCCAACGAGAAGAAAGAACGCATCGAACGGATTTACGAGGTATTAATTACGCTGCGGTTGTATACTCTTAAAATTAGTTTTCGTTACGTTTGTGAATTAAATCATCGATTAAACTTATCGATTTCTCGCGTTTCCTTCAAAGAGATTATCGCGTTCCAATTTAGTTATATTATTCGGAACATTCCAAATATAATAATATAAAACTTGTATAATGTTATAAATACGTTTTGATGTAGAATACGTTTCTTTTTGGTTGCAGGAAATTTCACCTAGGATGAGATTAAAAGATTCGGACAAAACGAAGCGAATTACGTCGGGACGAGATAACGGTAATGCTGAAAAAAACAAAAAAAAATAGCAAGATATTTGTAATAGATTCCTATAAATAGTCGAGTAATTATTATTGCATATTAGATCCTGCTGCTGGAGGTGACACTGGTGATACTACCGATGTACAACTGAGAGAAAGATGCAAGGGTAAAAAATGCAAGTGTGAAAATAAAAGTGGAGATGGAGACGTGGAATGAGATGAAGAAGAAAAAAATAGAGATTGCTAACAAAATTGAGGAGCATGCTCCTCAATTTTGTTAATATTACTAACGATGAATTTTTTACATTAGTAATTATTAATTTTTATACTATTAATAATTAATAACAACTGCATATCGATGTTATACGTGAAAAATTATAAGCTCATTTTGCTTTATCTTGTAATCCCTGGGTTCCGTAAAGCGCTATATCTATAGCATACGTAACGTTTACCGTAGAATATGCGCGCATATGCGCTTTACGGAACCCAGGGAATATTGAAAGACCACTGGCGGCCATCATAAGTCGATCCTAAAGTAACTATATATAATATCGTTTTAATATCTCGAGAATATTGAAGATATTTATATTATTGTATCAAAGTGCGTGCTTTTCGTATTTTCGCACTAATCTATTTTAATATCTTTTGTTTGTAGAATTTCTACTATATTTCTCAATGCATGCGGATGCGCTGCGCGCGTTACCGGTGCAAAAGCACTTTGTACTCTCATAAATTATTGCTACTTGCTAAATCGAATATTTTGTTTAATCTTTTTTTTTTCAAGTAACATACGCGTCAATTTTATTTTTAAATATTCGCAGAAAAATGCAGAATATATAACTCGATTCTCATAATAAAAGCGCGATATACTTTTCATCGACGTTACGTTATTCTCGTCTCATTTGTCTTCTTTTGTGCGGCATGTAATTAAATATCGTCAACTGTACGTGTAAACTGTATAACGGACGTGTACACCGTTGAAAGTGTTTTAATATATCAAGTGCGCAATGTGCTTTTGAATAGAAGAAAAATTATACTTTTCCGCGATGTTGGAACGATATATTTTTTCCGGCGTCGTACGACGAAATCATCCTTGTTGAATTAAGAGATATAATATTAGACCGTGGCAAATTTATAACGGTGGATCGAACGACGTTTTATTTCAGGAACTCGTTAGCGAAATGTCTCACGTCACGCAAATCTGTTCGTTTTCTCTACGTGCATCTATATATAGTAAACAAAATTGAATATACGTAAGATAAATTAATATACGCGCACATAAATTTATAGATATAATATGAGAACGTAATTATATAAGGACTGTGCTATATAAGAGTGTTATTTTCTCAGAATTTTTGGTTTTCTGTTTATTCGTCGAATAAATACATATCGTATATACGGAAGAAATAACATTGTGAAAAAAGCTATTCGTGAGCGTGAAAC